CACAGAATATTTATAACAAATGTTTATTAATATTCATTTTTTGAAATGTTATATAGATATTTTATATAAAGCTTTATTTCAAATATTATTAAAATATCGACGAAATATTTATGATAAATATAAATAAATTTAATAAGTACTTTTTACTCGGGTTATGTCTTATCAAGTATTTTCATAACGTTTACTACAAGATTTACAATAAATATTTCATAATATTTATATAATAAATGTTTATGGTCTGTGCAATTTAAAATATTTGCCTATAAAAATATTTGTTAAATATTTAAAATAAATGTTATAAATAATTACAAAATATTTAAAATAAATCTTATAAATATTTATAAATATTTTATAAATATTTTATAATTATTGTGTGCTGCCTCGGGAGCATCCTACACAATTTTAATAGTCCAATGAAATTATTTATAAATCTGCATCTAGTTAAATTTTTAGATACTTCAACAAAACCGTTCTTTCCGTGTACGTATAAATTAACAAGAAGAATCCAAATCTGTCGACGTAACGTAAAGAAAATTGAATTGTTTGACACTTTGGAAGAGAGAGAGAGAGAGAGGGAGAGAGAGAGATTTTATATACAATTAAGCGAGTCTCCAATAAACCCACCGTTCATTCCGGAGGGTTAAAAGAAAAACTGTGTCTTCGGCGGAGAAGTGTTATTAAATTTGTCCGTTCGTCTCGTACGAGGAGAAAATTGTACATATCGAGTCGAGGGTTGGCCAGAACCTGGCCTCTCTACATGGCGAACGACATTCGGGCTCGACGTGTCCGATCCCCGCCCGATCGATCTACGCGCTTCCAGCCGCGGCGACTGGCTGTGGATCACGTACCCTACCTATATCGTACACGCGATAACGTATAATGCTGCCGCAGTGCCAAGGGAAGTAACTAGTCGCTTCGTGGCTCTAATGCGGCGTCGGGCCTCGCGCTGTCACTCCCGTAAACGCTCGCCAGCCCGTCATCGTCGCCGTCGTCGTTGTCAGTGCTTTTCGTCGGCGGGGCGCGTCCCGTCTCCCGCGTCGTCGATACGGTCCTCATTATTGCGACGCGATATCGATAATAATCGATCCCTTCGCGGATCTTTCGCGGGCGCCCGCGATTCTAATTGAATAAGTATCATAATTTATAAGTATCGATAAACGGGACGGGAGAACGCCGACAAAGAGAGAGAGGGAGAGAGAGAGAGAGAGGGAGAGAGTGTCGCGCGGCGAATATCGTTGAAAAATCTCGGTGAGTCTGAAAAGAGGGAGAGAGAGAGAGAGAGAGAGAGAGAGAGAGAGAGAGAGAGATTTTAATCCGTGATTTGTTAATTTGCTCCGACTTATTTTCCTTTCATTTAATTTTTTATTGATTTTTTTTCTAAGGTCAGAGCATCTAGAGATTACCGATTTTTTCATCTAAATCAGTGAAACTGAAACATTGTACGCGTACGAATCGTATGATTTGAGCTAAACGTTAAATCGGACGCAATTAATGTCATTCGATTATTCGAACTTGATTTTTAAATTGAAACCGATTACCGGTGCCGCACGGGATTCGCTGAGAACCTTGGCGGCCTTGTTTCCGCCGCTGATTTGCTCGGGCGGAATCTCTATTCCGACATAGAAACTTCTATCGGCGTTCGTTTCGCACAGTGTGTGTTTCGCCACCGTGCGACCAATAAATCCTAATTTTACGACGACGTTTAATCTCGTCCTCGTGCGTAAACTTCCGCGTGCGACGACGTTCCCGTGGACGCGCCGCTCCCGTGTGACCGAGCGTACGTACGACCACGCACGGAACACGTAGAAGGAAGTTGCTAATCAACGTGGACCTTCGTGTGGTAACTAGAGAATACTATCATCCTACTAATACCTCCCCCTGCCCCTGCCCTAACGTGCGTGAGACGGGGAAAGAGGTACAGAGAGAGGGAGAGGGACGCTGAATCGTGTATTGAACACGACGTGCGTATATATATGTATATTTGCGTAATTATTTATATAATTATACATTATTTAATCCTTTGGAACGAAATCTCACCCTAAAAAGCGAAAATCAAGCCAGTTTGGAAGCTGAATGGCTGAGTTTTCGATCTTTCAGAGAGTGAGATTTCATTCTTCAGAATGAGATTCATTCTGAGAATTTTAGAGAGCACATACATATAGTTTATATATACTGCCAGTCAAAACTTTGAGATTAATTGAAAGCGTATATAAAATCATTATTTTGTTTATTGCTTTGTAATGAGATAAAAAATAATGTAGTGTTCGAAAGTTCTACAAAAATACTTTTTACAAAATTATTTTACAAGGGAGACATTGTGAAGTATTAGACTTTTTTGTTAAAGTAGCTACTCTTATTACTAATCTAAGTAATCTAACTGTAAAAAACAAATTTGTTTTTTTACAAACGATTCTTCTACCCATTTTCTAGAATAGTCTGCAGCTCAATTTTGCAAAAAAGGCTTTATAACCGTAGTCAATTTTCTTGAAATTAACATTCAAAGAGGAACCTTTTTTTTAAATCTTACAATTTTTCCTTGAAGATTTCTTGTAATTCATTATTCATTACATTCCTTGCCTCAAAATATGATTGTTTCAACAACACTATTGGCTTTCTTGTTCTGTAAAAGTTAAATAAGCCTATATTAACTGTGTAAATATAATATAATAGTGTTTACTTTTCTGCAGATTTAAATTAAGAAGAAATATAAAGTATTGAGAAAGGCAAAATCGGAATTTTAATGTTGCACTGGAGTATTCATAAATTCTGTTCAATGTATGCTGAAGAAAATCTACACGCATATATAAAATTTAAGTGTTCCAGCGAAAATATTATATAATTATAAACAATAAATAAAGGAGCAGATAGCCACACGCAGGATGTCAGTAGTGAAAGTCATATATTTAAAACATAAGCTAACTGTGTGCTCCTTTATTTATTGTTTATAATTTATGCCACGTGGTTGTGAATTTAATTATGTATAAATTTCTGAATATACTATCGCACTTATATCAAATATATATATGCGTACAGCTTTTCAACGTGTGATAGTACGCAGAAATTTATTATGCTGAGCTACGATGTCATATTTCCCATCGATAACTGTATACAAGATATAATAGATACTCCACTTCTCGCACATTATTCTTTAACAACAGATTTCTTGGCCGATTTGAAGTCGATCTTTCCTCGAAGACAAAAATATCGAGGCGTCGCAAAATGAAAGTCTTTTTACGAATTCAAGTCCCCATTTAAATGGAGGTAAAAGAAAGAATACTACATCTCAAATGGAGTTTGCTTTGATGGAATTTTAATTCAAGGCTTATAGAATTACATTGGTAACATTATGTTAAAAATTTGAAGAGCCGTGATAAAATGATGAGCACTCACGACAGGTTCGCCGAGGAGAAATCGACTCCATATTAAGAAATAATGCGCGTGAAGCAGGATGTCTTGTACCTTACATTAAATCAGTCAAAGAGTCTGCCGTTAAACATTAACGAGAAGCAGAATATCCCACTTGAAATTTGTCAAAGTACACCTGCCGTTTAAATATAATGCATGATTTTTTAATCGCAAATGCAGCGCGGATCTGCAGAAAGAAATGTTTCATTGCAAGATCGTAACTGCGATCGTTGGCTGTGTTTAGCAGAAAAAGCAAACTGTTGTAAGATATTTTAATACAGATTTGTGTGCCACAAAATTGGAAACTAGGGAAATCAGAGAAATAAGGGAAATTTAAAATGAACATTACACAAATAAGAGAATTTTGTAAAATTTTCTGGAAAATTAAAATTCTTGCCTTTAAATAAGTTTAATATATATTAAAGAAATTTATACATCACACCTACGTAGTTTTAGGATACCAACTTAACAATTAAATGCAAGCAGTGTCTGCAGCAACATTAATAGTAATTAACATTATATATAAATTGCTCTCTCAACAAAATATTTGAAGGTTTCTAAATCAAAACAAAAATACAAAAAATTTCAAAATATTATTGAAAGTATCAGGGAAAATAATGAAATTTTGTCTGGAAATCAGGAAAAAGTTATAAAATTTTACAACCCTGAGAAATATGATTGAAAGATTCTCTAATATTCTCTCTTGTCCTTAGTTCCTTTCCCATTCTGAATCTAATTGCACAAGCCAATCATATTAAAGAATCTTACAAGTTACTAAGTTACTTTTTCTGCTGAATACAGTCGTTTAAATTGCAAATAATGCTGCAACATTACTGTAAGCTTGCAATGTGACGTCTCAGCGACGTGACGATGTGATGCATCATGTATTGGCGTAATGTTGCTGCAAACATAATTATATATTTTTTCATTATTCTCTAAATACATCACTCGATCTCTCGTTTCGAAATCGAAATCGACGATTAATCGCGTAATTTTTATATACTCTCCGCCATCTTCTTTGTCGCAGCCTGAAATCCGGGGTATCAGATTCAATATGTAGGGGAGAAGGCATTATGGAATCTCATTCTATTTTTAATATCCTGCAAACTTCCAATATTGCTGTAACCTTGTCAGAATTTTTCATTTGCATGGTTCTGTAATGCCCCTGCAATTTGCAGGATTGCGACGTTGCTGCAGTGTAAAACGTGAGCTAAAAAAAAGCTTCACGTTGTGTACGGGGTAACTTTGAACCATCCACCATTATCGAAGTCACGCGTTCGATGACATTAAAGACCCTACGTTAAAAACAAAATCCTTTAATCTGTAATCTCTCGAGACGCCCTATATATTCCCGACTCTCTATTATCGAGAATATCAACGTGTCGCGCACAAAGTTTTTAGACCTGTATTCACACGTGTGTGAACGTGTATGGGGTTATAATATTTAGTTCCTGAGGATGGGCGTGCAAAATTATCAGCCGTGGGAGAATATTTCTATTATCGCGTGAATTCTCGAGCAATGAATCCGACGTTGTGAATAGCATTTAAGAGAAATTTGGAATGTGTAACTGCGGACAAAAGAGATGGCTGTAGAAATTCAATGTTCTTCCAATTTGCAAAATTATGCCAAAAGATTTAAACGACAAGCGAGGACACTTGTCGTCTGTCTGTCAGTTATATAACGACCTTATTATGAAGTATCATGAATGCTTGGCGGAAGAAGCGAGGGAATAGAGAGAAAGAGAAAGACAAGCATGTACAGAACGAAAATATCATTAAAAATTTTAACGAGATAAATCATTTGCAACAGCCGTTCCTACCTAATGACGCCAAAATTTCATTCACTCGTCCAATAATCATCCCAACATTTCTGTCTGCATTTCTCCGAGAAACAAAATCATCGGTGCATTTTTATTCGCGAGAAAAGTAAGATTAACGTATCTACTCAATATATTATTATTGAAATGTTGTTATATATGAAATATTCTTTGGAGGTGCTATTTCAGTATTTTCTGAATTCTAAAAATCATGTTTTCGTTCCCTTCCTCTCAGTGAAATTAATTCAAAACTGATCAATTTAAATAATTAAACGTTGCTCTAACCCATGGCTAATAATTCGACGTAAATAACGTGCTATTAATTAAATTAGCTTAGTTAACTCAAATAATCTCAATTACCAACGCGGTTTCTCTCTCGGATGCGCTGGAAACCGCGGCTTGAATTACGGTCAGATAGGGTTACTTTGTCCCTGCGGGGGTAATTTTGCGCCATGGCAGAGGACAATTTTCTAGGACGAGCGGGTTATTCAGAAAAGAAGGATGCTCGACGGGAAATCTTTCGGAAATCAACACATCTCTGGTTGTTTCTCTTAAATCACACGCGACGGATCTCGGTGGAGTTTATTTTTCCTCCGCGGTGGATCCCCTTCGAAATTAATGCGTTCGCGACATACGTTATACACCATCGCTGGAGCATTTTTCATATCACAGGTATGCTTACGTGTGCAGGGCACAAAGTAAAGTTGAAAATAAGTCTTATCCCGTCCAATTGTTACGTTTTTATAAGACGCGTCCATGTTTTTGATGCTCGAATGTGAGGCCTTTCCTACACAGAAAAAAGACTATTCCTCTACAGCACAAAATTGCACAAAAGTTGCAGAACACTGCTGCAACATTACATTGCATGTTGCAGCAATAGTACAGAGATTTTGCAGCAATATTACTGCAAATTCTGTGCTGTATGGGATTCTATATCAATCGTAATATGATCATATATAAGCAAAAATATTGTGATCTTGTTTCAAAGATTTTAGTCTTGATTTGATTGAATTTGTATTTATATAAGATTTTTGATCGAGCAAGTCTTCAGTGCAAAGTAATACAACACAAAGCAAGATTATAATATTTTTGCTTATATATGAGCATATTATGATTGATTTAAGAATAGTCTTTTTCCTGGGTAGAGATTCTCAAGTAAGATGGACACCATACGTTTAGTCCGTTATATTTTTCAGGATTTGCTTAAGAAAAAATGAAATAGATCGCGCATAAAACAGAATGAAATATCCACGCATCTTATTCTATCTTGAACAGGTCCTAAAAAATATGACTGATCAATCACAAGTTATTTAAACGATGCCATCTCTTACTTGAGGATCTCTAGTCTTTCCTACCGCAGCGAATGCATCTTCCGCGAAATGCAGTTGTACCAGATTTATTCTCACGGGCGACGTATCACCTGTGTACTTTATGCTAATGTATTTACCAATAGCGTACCCGAAACAGCCATTTGTTATTCGCAAACGCATCCCGTCCAGCATCGTTTTACAAATGCTGTATAAATTATACGATGGTTATTGCGCGAGTAGCGAAACGTCCCGGCGTTTAGAAACCGAATTTATCATCTGCCAGATAAAGAACAAGTTTTCGGTGATTATTAACCCTTTCCAATTCTCCGTCGCAACATTTTCGACACTGTGCCTCGTGGTGTATAGACAGGAGTAATTGAAGGCTACACGTGGCTCGGCTCTCTCGAATAACCGCTTTTTAAACATTTTATACCAAATAATTTGTTCATTTTTCATTCACGCTGTATACATATACACAAAGTCCATTTTAGGCGATCTATAATTCACGTGAGATTTCAAGATAGAATTCTATTTATAATTTTATATACCATGCATTTTGATATACATGTGTACATTTTAAAGCATATTTTATTCATGTGAAGGTTCTCTGATTCTGTTCAAACGTTTTTCATATTGTATGGCATACAAAATTATAAATAGAATTCTATTTTAAATTCCGGCGCAAATTATAAACAGTCTAAAATTACATTTAATTTGTTCTAAACGAAAAATAATTATAATAGTTTTGCGAAGGAAACACATTGACAGAGAGAAGGAGACATGTATCACGAACACACGTAGATATTTAATTTTAATTTAATTTAATTTCATTTTTATCGATTGTTATTGTAAATTCGTACACTCTAAATTTCTTGCAGTGAAATGTCACTCCAAGAGAGTGAAAATACAATCACCCTTGAAAAAAAGTGAGAATATTTCACTTTTTGAAAAAAAGTGACAATTTTCATTGCTTTTGGAGTAAATTTTCTTTGAAGCGAAAATTCACTCCAAAAGGAGTGAAATATCAACAAAAAACGTGAAAATTCACTCTAAAAAGAGTGAAAATTGTCATTCTTTTTCAAGAAATAAAGGGTGGTTGTATTTTCACTTTCTCGGAGTGAGATTTGACTGCAAGAAATTGAGAGCGTATGGTATTTGTAGATCCTCTCCCTCTCCGCGTGCACGATAAATGATGCGCGAAATGCGTGCGATTTTTATTTCTTTTTGCAGCCGAGCAGGCACGATGTCGAGAAACTCAAGTTCCTGGCGGACCGGCAGACTGGAGGCCCTGCTGGTACTGAGCCTGTTCCTGCTCCTCGTCCTGCAGCCGGATCCTTGCCTCGGCTCGCCGTCCCATCGGAGCAGGCATCACGAGCACGAGCTGCACGCCGCGCAGGAGACGTCGCACGAGGACGCCAGGAGTTCCAGGTCGAGCGAGGAGCTCCCACGACCGGCCGCCCTCGTCGGCCACTCCGACGATCCGCTGGTGGTCCGCACCAGGAAAGGCATGGTCCGCGGCAAAACCATGGTCGCGACAACCGGCAAGAGCGTCGACGCCTGGTTCGGCATACCCTACGCCCAAAAACCCGTCGGTGAGTTTCGCGCAAATTTATATTAGAGACTTTAATGGAAACGTGAGGACAATCCAAATAGCAAGATGACGTCTTGTTGACGTTAAAGACGTTACTAAGGGTACGTTCCGTTTCTCGCATGATGCGCATAATGTATCGTTTATCCTTGTTGCTCACCAAACGTTAAACAAGGACAATGGATGCATCATGCACATCATGCGCGATACGGAACGCACCATAAGATATTATTAAGACGTTATTTGACGTCATAGAATGTTTGGGAATGTTCCCAAATAGCACACAAACATTCTATTAATATCCTATTTATTAACAAAATTCCTATAAATGTACCAAAAACACTGTTAAATATTAATACGTTCATAGTACATTTGAATGGCACAATTATAAACGTTCTATGAATATTTATAGAATATTTTATATAACGTTCTATAAAATATCAGAAGAACGAGAAAATCAAAATAATATCATATTGACTAAATGATTAAAAAATTATATAAATTCAGATAATAATCAGTTAATATAAAATTAAATTAACATTATTTTGGTTTTTAGTCTCTTTGAGTATTTTTATATACGTTTGAGCTAATCTGGTCCGCAAGATAAGGCTAGCACACTGCTCATGTACAGTTCATTAACTCTACGAATATATTATGAGGAACATTCTGTGAATTTTTTTTATATTATGTGAATATGAATTTTTTAAATAAAATATTCTATGTATATTCATAGAACATTCAATATAAATATTCCAACATTAAGAATATTTGTGTTTTATTAGAATATTCATAGAATATTTTGTGTTATCTGGGATTAGTGAGGGAAGATAATAGTTGATGAGACACTTTTGTCGTTCAATTGTGCAATGTATCAAATGTATGACGGACAGATCACGCATATTTCTGTCCTTCATGTGTTGTCTTCAGCTGTCACATTTGAATGCGCAATCTATCATATTAGTCTATGGTCTCGCAAATGAAGCGGGGACAAGCGAAGGAAAATAGCGCTCTCTCGTACCAAGAATTGTACTCGCAGTCGTGATCGGCTTAGGCTTAGAATGTAGTCAAGAGAGCGAGTATTCTTCGTGATAAAACGAATGAAAGATGTAGGATGAAAGAAGTTTCGTTCAACTTCGATTGCGTAATCTTGGAGGAAAATTGATATCTTTCAAATTTGCTTGGAACTTGAGAGCTCGATCTATGATAATTTAAAGAAAGGAGGCCTTGTTCGTGAATTACACTGAGAAAAGTGTTTTTGTTATACTAACAAGAAGTACAAACACGACAAATTATGATTATACGAATCAGAGAATTCTGATCATTATCATATTTTAATTTCTGACTATCTTGACTACAACGTAGAGATTGATAGATTTAAGGACGTATCATAAATACATATTTTTTGACGAAATAAAAAAATTACGAAAAAGGTATAAATTTTTTCATGATTTAAAAGTAATACAAAAAGTTTGACGGCACTTTAGAATCAAAACAAAAAATTATTTCAATAAGAAGCCCGGGAAAAATGTTTTATATTATATAATTATACTATATAATATATATAAATAGACATATTTTATATATAATTTTATATAATTATATATAAAAAAATTTTTCCCAGGAGAGAGTAGAGAGATATGTTTTTAAATAATTAAAAAATAAAATAAGAACATTTTCATTTAAACATTTACATTTAAATAACAATACATTTAAATTTATATTGTTAAATATACATATTTAACAATATATAATATCTTATTGAACTGTTTTATATAACATTTTATATAATTTGTACATATGAATCCCTAATGTATCTGGTTTGTACCTTTCTGGTTGAATCTACTAGAATTCCATTTAAATCAAGATCTATTTTCCAATGTAGATAATAATGCTGTGTTCTCCAGGGTTAATTTCGAGAAAGCTTTCACTGGCGAATTTCCAATTCACAGGCCCGCTGAGGTTTCGCCATCCGCGGCCGGCCGAGCGCTGGTCGGGCGTGCTGAACGCGACCACCCTGCCGAACAGCTGCGTGCAGATCCTGGATACGGTGTTCGGTGACTTCCCCGGCGCCACCATGTGGAACCCAAATACGCCATTGAGCGAGGACTGCCTGTACGCGAATGTGGTGGTGCCCCGGCCCAGGCCTAGGAACGCTGCTGTCATGGTATGGATATTCGGTGGTGAGTTCCTAGTGATGAGAATCCATCATCTCGATTCATCCTCGAGCGTACGATCTAAACGCGATTTTGCTGATAAAATCTCTGTTCCTCACGTAGGAGTAGGGGAGTAACTTCAAAAAGTTCCCGAAATCATTTTATTTCTAAAAAACATGAGAAGCGTTGTCACAAATTCCTCATCCTAAAATTCTATGATTTTTCTCTGATTTTCAAACAAAATTTCATAATTTTCCACGACTTTCAATGATATTTTGAAATTTTTTGTACTTTCGTTCTGATTTGGAAGACACTAAATATTTTGTTGAGAGATCAACTTAACATATAATAGCATTGTAAATTATTATTAATATTACTAATATTGCTTGCATATTTAATTGTCTTAAATTGGTACTATCCAAAAAGTATAGGGTGTGAGATGTGTATATTATGTTTCTTTAAAGCCAAAAATTTTTATTTTCCAAAAAATTTTGAAAAATTTCGTGACTTTCCCCTGATTTCCCTTACTGTTTTCAATTTTCTTGACGATTCCCCGATTTCCCTGATTTCCAGTTTTGTGGCAATCTTGATAAGACATTGCGACCTTTACGTTCCTCACGCGACTTTGCGTTTTTTTCAACAGTTGCAAAATCGGAAGCGCTCCTGAAAGCCATTTTGTCGAATCTTTTTCTTCTCCATCGTCACGCTCTGAATGATGTCAGCGGGGCATTATGCTGCCGTTTATGCCAGTTATAAATCTGTGATTCTTTTATTGCCCTGTCACCATACGCTTGTTGCGGCCTGATTGATGCCTCTGTCAGCGGCTTACGTAGCAAAATAAAATTTAATTTCCGAACGTTCTCCAATTAGGGATATTTTTAGCTGTGACGCGCGACCTCACGCACACTAGAAGAAAAAAATCACCGAATAAATTGCACTATTAGAGAGTATCAAATGGTGAAATTACGTACGTGTCGACACCGATACCTCAATACGTGAGAGAATTCCTGTAAATTATGCTGTACAATCTTACGTTTTTAAAAGAAGGTTAAAAAGACGCTAAGAGTACGCACTCTTTGAAAAAAGAGCTATTTTACCAAAAGTAAAATCCAAGTGGTACTATCTTTTCATTGAAGGTCTTCTTATTCTAATCCAAGTAGTTGTAGCTTTAATTCTCCTTCAGAAGTTATTACATAAGAATTATTATATCACAAAACTTTACTCAATTCGAGTGATCGGTGATTTCGGGAACTCTCTTTGAAACTCTAACATAACATATCACGAAGATAAAATAGAATGTATATGAATAAAAGAAATTCTTTATACATAAATATACATTTGTACAATTAAATATTCATTATATAAATACAAATAAAAAATTTTATTACTGATTATAGATAAAATAATAAATAACAATTATATGTTACACACATTTAATAATAATGATAATTATGAGAAAACAATTCCATACTTTTTGATACTTAAGATTTTGAGTTCAAAAGATCACAAGGAAGACAGTTGCAAAAACAAATATTGTTTATACATGCCGGCGCCACTGTGCGGCCGCGAAACCCAAGGATTTCTGCGACCCTTTTTCAGGTGGCTTCTACTCCGGCTCAGCCACCCTCGATGTATATGACCACAAGACCCTGGTATCGGAGGAGAACGTAATCGTGGTGTCGATGCAATATCGCGTGGCTAGTCTTGGCTTCCTGTACTTCGGCACGTCCGACGTGCCCGGTAACGCTGGGCTCTTCGATCAGATGATGGCCCTGCAATGGGTACGCGACAACATCGCCGCGTTCGGCGGCAATCCCGAGAACGTGACGCTCTTCGGCGAGAGCGCGGGCGCGGTCTCCGTCTCCTTGCACCTCCTGTCTCCGCTGTCCAGGTCAGTTTTAATCCGGCAATAGTCACCTGGAGTATTTATATGCCTTAGCCGCGAGAATATGTGAATTGTTGTAAAATATTGTATTATACGGGCATTATCTAACATATTTGTTTTCTTTTTTAATATCTATTCTTTATAAAATTTTAAATACGTAATTCCATCGAAAACAAGCGTAATAAAAATAGTGTTCTATTAATTAAAATCTTTGTTTTTTTGTGCTTATTCCGCTTAATATTTGGTTTACACTTACATTCTTTTACAAAATTGTGATTAAATTTGTATCTATAATATTCTCAAATGCTAATAAATAAGAAAACAATCAATAATATGCAATATGTTGTTAATAATAGATATTAAATGGAGTGTAAAAACACCCCAGGTGATCGTTTACGTAAAACAAACCAGGTTACTACTCGGGTTAAAAAGTAGACAAGTCGTCAGTAAAGGGGAATAAAAAAAGATCTTTTGGATAAATATATTTAAATATATGATTATATGTATACAATAACGTAAAAATATATATACATGTATGTTATACATTAGTTATATGTAACATAAAGAGTAATATATACAAATATTTTTTACTTATATATTTTATTCATATATTTATTTATATAATATTGCGTATATAATATTTATATTTATATTTATTTAAGATACACATGCATATAAAAATGCAAGTTTTAATGCCATTCTCTCTGCGTCGATAAAGAAATTACATAAATAAAAAACTAATGTTTTTGAGATAATAAAAAGAAATCGATCTAAAAAGCGATTAATATATTATAGAAGAATGATAAATTTGTCAACACATTTCTTATATGGAAGTGTCACAACTCACAATTCTGATAAGGGATGAAATTTACATGATCTTAGAATGTGTACACGGAGAAAATTTTATATTTAAAATTACTATAATGTTGTAGAAGCTGCGGACTATCATGACAATTATAAGTTTAAATAATATAGCTATTTTTTTTAATAATAATTCAACGTAATTTTTACACTTTTTCGTAGTAAAAATTTTTTATTACAAAATCAAAACTGGTTGAATAAAAATTAGTATTGTAAAGATAAATAAAAAATATATACCTAGCAAATTTTGTTTTCGTACCATAGTAGAAATTAACTGTTTTCATGTTAGAATATGGCTTAAGCACTGGCTTTTAACAAAAATTACTTTATTTATGTGATTAATATTACCACAGTAAAAGTTATGTCGGAATCATGTTGTGATGGTCCATCGAAAATACAAGACATAGTAAAGTGTAATTTAAAATTGTATACAAACTTTTAATATAAAATTTTCTCCGTGCAGTGTTCGAATTTTGAAAACTTAGTGTTAATTTTAAACAGTACATTATGATTTAACGCTAGAATTTTGACTCCGCTAATCTTAAAAAATTTCTTCTTTTTTATATTAAATATACAGTACAGAATATTGAAAAGTGAATATAATGTAAATAATATCAAAATAAATCGTTATTAATCGAAAATAAATATATAAGAAATTATCAAATTAGTAGAAGACAACGGTTCTAATGAGATATTGTTGGCGGTCCTAATGTTAAAGTTTATAATATGTGTAATATGTTTATAATATGTGAGTTATATTTACTATCTTAATTGAAACGTTCTCATTCTGTAAAAAATAAAAAAAATATTCTACTGAAAAATTGCTAATTTTAAGTTGTGTCATTTTTCTATCAACGCAGCAGTATTTCAATTTAATATCTACTCTCTAAATTCTTTGAAGTAGAATCTTACTCTAAAGAGTGAAAATTGAGCCAGTCTTGAAAAAGAGTGGCTTAATTTTCAATCTTTAAAGAGATTTCACGCTTTTAGAGTGACAGTTCACTCTAAAAGTTTTAGAGAGTATGTAGGTACATTAGAAGGTGGAGGAAATAAAAAATCTGTTTCATTAAAGGAAGGAACCTGCGATTCCTATTCCAGGCACTTGTTCAATCAAGCCATCATGCAATCGGGCTCAGCAACCGCACCATGGGCGATAATCTCGCGCGACGAATCGATCGTGCGTGGCATCCGGCTGGCCGAAGCAGTGGGTTGCCCGCATGATCGCCACAATCTGCGTGAGGCGATCGACTGTTTGTTGACAAAGGATGCGGAGGAGCTGGTGAAGAACGAATGGGGCACCCTCGGGATCTGCGAGTTCCCGTTCGTGCCGGTGATTGACGGCGCGTTCCTCGACGAGACGCCCCAACGTTCGCTCGCCACGACGTCCTTCAAGAAGACCAACATCCTCATGGGCTCCAACACTGAGGAGGGCTTCTACTTCATCATCTACTATCTGACGGAGCTGTTTCGCATTGACGGCGCCGAGGACGTGAAGGTGACGCGCGATCAGTTCATCAGCGCCGTGTCCGAGCTGAATCCCTACGTAAATCAAATTGGCCGTCACGCCATCATCTACGAGTACAGCGACTGGCTGCATCCGGAGGATCCGCACGCGAATCGCGACGCCCTTGATAAAATCGTCGGTGACTACCAGTTCACTTGCAACGTCAACGAATTCGCCGGCCGATACGCCGACACCGGCCACACTGTCTACATGTACTATTACAAGCACAGGTAAAGAAAGATCAATTTAATTTTTGAAATCTCTATATTGTTAAGGAAGTTCTCTGGCTCTCCTCTAAGGATTTGAAATATACAATATTTTTACAAACTAGTTAAAACAGGGGAAGGGGAGCTATAGGAGTAAGAAGTGCGCAGAAGTTTATAATAAGTCACATTAACTCAGTAATTTAAATCTTACAACGTTCGATGTTGTAAGATTTAAATAATTGACTTACTGAATAAAAATATGATGAATTTATAAAATTTAATCTCATAGCCTCCTTTTGTTTTAATTTGTTTGAAGTATCCTTACAGTTTATATTATTATTTCGATATTGCCGAGATATTACTTGATTAGTTAATAATTTTCCATCAAATTGAAAAATAGTTTTTTTCTTCTTTTCTGTGAAACTTAATTTTCAAACTGTATCACTTTTGAATTAGGGAGTGATACATTAAAAAAGGAGACAATTAACATAATAGATCCATTTATAATTCCTAAGTTATATAGGATTTAAAAAAAAAGACGATTTACACAGATCTAGGAACAATCCATGGCCGCGATGGACCGGAGTCATGCACGCCGATGAGATAAGCTACATCTTCGGGGAACCGCTGGACCCGTCCAAAGGTTACACGCACGAGGAGGTACAGCTCTCGAAAAGAATGATGAGATACTGGGCGAACTTCGCAAAAACGGGGTAAGATGCGTGGTTAATTTAAACTTTTTTTTTACACGTACTATTATCTTCTCTAATTTTTAAAAAAATTGCGAAAATTGTACGTATTACATAAAAGGCTTTTTAGCGATTATATAATTTGAGACAATATATACATAAATAATTTCAGAAAATTATATTTCAATTTCAAATATAATTAAATATAAAGTAATACACGTTGTATATGTATATTTATGTTATAATTTTTGAAATAGAAAATGTTCTAGTGTTCGCGACACAAAATACATATATTGATGTTCGCCTTTTTTATTGGTGTAGAAATGATGGAAATAAAATATGAACAAATATTTTTTACTCGGAAAAATACGAATTAATTCATGCTCATCAACTATAAAAATATTTTTATGTTTTATTTTTTCGCAAAAAAATATTATTATTTTAACTTGAAGACAGAAATATTTATAAATATAAATGTGACAATATTGCAATTTTAAATTTTAAAAATAATGAAGTTTTTGCCTTTAATCTACTTAATCCTTCGTTTGCAATCTGGCTCTTTTTTTGGTGCATGCAAAATTTAACTAGAAATTAAAAAAGGGTAGAGTTTGATTTAAATTAATTCGCCATCGTCAGTCCGTATAAATTACTTTAAAAATACCTTGAAATCTCCTTACTTGAAGATATTTTGGTACCGCGTCGAGACGACAATATATTTAGACGATATCTGATTTGTATGATCGGTCAGAGATCCGAACATCGACGAGAGCGGCGAGCTGTCCCTGGCTTACTGGCCGTCGCACACCGCCGTCAATAAAGAGTACCTGACCTTGGACATCAACAGCACAGAGATCGGCAGCGGTCCCAGGGTGAGGCAGTGCACTTTCTGGAAAAAGTATCTGCCGCAGCTGCTCGGCGCCACGTGTAAGTATCCCATCGAGACCAGTTCTCTCTCCTCGCGTGGTAGATGAACCGACCACCCTCGGAAAACAAGGCAATGCGATCAAACAATCGGTTCTTGAGAATCTAGAAACACGCGATGCATCTAGGGTTACTAAATCTAATATCAACATTTCCGGGATATATCTGAGGCGATGGTTGAAACATGGATTTATTGAAGTATTTGAGTCAAATCAGTTAATATCAGTTAGAAGCCCCACATAAATCATTTATAGTACACTGATAATTTTTTTATGATAGCGTTTTAACTCATCTACTAAAGTAATAAATACAGATTTATGCCTAATTAAAATTTATATTTAAAAATATGGTTCTTTTGTATAAATATTTTTAAATTAATTATAAATAGAAGCTGATCTGGCTCACATCAATCAGGAATGCTGCAAAATTGGAAATTAAGAAAATCGAGAAAATTTCAGGGAAATTGAAAACAGTCATGAAAATCAGGGAAGTTTGCAAAATTTTCTGGAAAATTAAAATTCTTGGCTTTAAAGATATTTATTATTTAATACACGTACATCACACCTACGCAGTTTTAGTATACTACCAACTTAACAATTAAATCAAAGCGGTTAGTAATATTAATAGTAACTTATATTGTTAAAATTGCTCTCTCAACAAAATACATATTTGATGGTTTCCCAATCAGAATGAAAATAGAAAAAAATTTCAAAATTGATAACATCAATTCATATTGAAAACATCAGGAAAAATCAAATTAATGAAATTTTGTCTAGAAATCGGGGAAAAGTTATGGATTTTACATTGAAAGAAAAGATTGCCTGAATATAGCATAACGTTTTTAATTGGTTGCAGCAGCCAATTAAAAATGCTATGCCATATTTTACCATCTAATTTGCTGCAACAGCCAATCTTTTCTTTCAGTGTAGGATGAGGAATTTATGACAACTCTATATAGTAATTCCAGAACACATAAGGCACAATACAATGCTGTGGACGCATTCATGTGTGTATGACATAATTTCGTATAAATCTTTAATATAAGAGTTGCGATCAATGATTGCGATCGAAGAAATGGTCCAAAAATATTAGAGGAATCTTGAAATTTCGTTAAAATTATCCACTTCCAGGGTAGAAAACTTCAATTACTAAACACGGGATTAGCCGAAAAAATTCCGGGACTTCCCTAGAAATCCCGGTCATCTGGCAACCCTATAGGTGCAACTAACATAATGTAATCGTCACGCAGTTGCGTAATAATTGCGTCTTCTGCGAACAGCAGCTGGCAATCATCTCCCAGACCGGATGATCAATGATTGCATAGGCGACGTTACTCGTACACGCTAACGGAAACGAGGGTCGCGATTCATCGAACCGCCGAGGTCCTCGACGCGTTACTTACCGCGCGAATTGTCTTGTGTGTGACACCTGTTGAGCGCCAAGTACGTTTGATTGTTCTCGCAACGGTCGGGGACCGACTCGGAGAGATCGTTCTCCGGCGTGACGAACAACTTCGGAGCGAGCCTCTCATCTCTTCGCAGGGCTCTCGAGCGCCATATCACAAAAGCTGTCATACATAAAATAATCTGACTATAATGAATAAAGTAAATTAAAAACGCAATTTTCTTTGAGGGAAAAATAAGGGAGGAAAAAGGGAAAGCAAAGAAAATTCACCGAACGTGAAACGCACCGCGATTTGATGATCATGAGACATCGATGAAACGTCGTATCTTGGCTCGCAGCTTGGAGGGAAAGTGCTATTGTACGAGGCAATACTCTAACGCCGATACTCGAGTTTACATCATTTATTCAGAACTGCTATCAAGTGCGCTTCGCCAAGTGTCCCAGTTAGGGCCGCGGCGGACGCGAGCGCGGCTTCGATGACGGGAGATCTCGCGAGGATGTCTTGTGAGATGTCTTATCCTTCGTAGTCCACTCTTTCTTTGCGATTAATTGTCGAATTTTTTTCGTTCTTTGTATTGTAACAAAATTCTTATAACAAATATTTACAATTAAAATACTTTTAACGAAAAGCGAGATGATGCAAAGCATATATTAAATTGTTCGCCGTTATGCTTTATTGATGAAAACGTAAAAAAGAAAGAAAATTCTAAATATTAATAGTAAAAAAAAAAAATCTTTAATGCCGAAATTTTTAATTTGATTATTATAAATAAATTTCATTAAATATAAAAAACGTACGTCTACAATAAATCTTAATTTTCCATAAATAATATAATTATAAATTTTAAATTCTAAATTTTGCATTCTAAATTATGTTTTATTGATGAAAACGTGAAAAAAAAGAAAATTCTAGATATTAATAATAGTAAAGAAAAAAATCTTCAATACCAGTTTTTTAAATTTGATTATTATAAATAAGTTTCATTAAATACAAAAAAAACGTCTACAATAAATCTTAATTCTCCGTAATATAATCTTAAATTTTGCGCGCGTAGTTTCGATAAGAAATCACCAAAGCACGTATTAAGTTGTTCGCCATTATGCAATAGCTTCATTACAAAGCAGATGAAAACAGGGTGCGGACTTTCGACGATAAGAATTCGTTCAAGTTCATTCGTGTTCATCTTCTTACACACCACGAGAACGTTATCATCTCGGCGGGTGCG